ATATTACATTACACATTACATTACACATTACATTACACATTACATTACATTACATTACATTACATTACATTACACTACATTACATTACATTACATTACATTACACTACATTACATTACATTACATTAAATTACATTACATTACATTACACTACACTACACTACACTACATTACATTACATTACATCACATTACATCACATTACATTACATTACATTACATTACATTCCATGCATTACATACATTACATACATTACATACATTACATACCTACATACATACATACATACATACATACATACATACATACATACATACATACATACATACACACACCAATACACCCATACATCCATACATACATCCATACATCCATACATCCATACATACATCCATACATACATCAATACATACATACAATATGTATGTGTGTGTATATATATGCTTAAGTATGTATGCTTAAGTATGTTTTCATTTTCTCACACATGTACTGATACAGATATGTTGGCATGTGTGTATCTACAGGGGTTGTACATACATATACTTACAGATGCATACTTGTATGCATATATAGATAGATACGTACATACAGGGTAAATTGTAATATCGTTCATACTAGGACGTATTCCTATAAATTTTACATACGTATAATGTGTACGTACACATCCACCAAAGACAAACATGTTCAAACATCATCCAATATACTGTGTCTTGAAGTCGGCCACATTCTTCACAGGATTTCAGGACTGCAGCAGAATAGCGCTCCAATGGCGGCAATTTCACATGAGTTCCTCCCGCCTCCTCGACAACCCTGCAAATAAACTGACAGGAACTTGAACGAAACACGGACCTAGAACGCAAAATTTGAACACCGCCTGCACTGCACTGTACAGTTTTAGGGCCTCAAAAGCCCCACCCCACAAATATTGATGAATAGGTATGTCACTGTATGTCGACTAAAACGCTCGGGGGAAGAATCAAAGAGACAAACCTTTTTAATCTAGATTAGGCAGTTTAGCAGGGGGCATGTGGCCACTGCTGCCAAAAGTACCATTTTCTAGTAATGACCCTATTAGCTACTACTGCCACTACTTCTGGAATTTGCAATTTGCTTCGGATTCCTATGACCATGGTGCCCTATTGCCCTGGCCACGGTCAGTCTTGTATGCTGCCTCTACCGCTGCCACAGGGCCCCCACCGCCACCGCCACCCCCACCAGCAGCACCTCCACCACCGCAACCACAACCACCGCGACGACCAAGACGACGATGACCAGCACCCACCACAACAACAACGACCACGACAACCACAACCACAACAAGGTACAACAACCAAAGTCACAACCACCACAATAACCACAAAAACCACAACCACGACGATCACAACGACCACAACAGCCACAACGACCACAACAGACACCATTAACACAAGAGCCACAGAAACGACAGCAGCAACAACAACAACAACAACTACTACTACTACTACTACTACCACTGCTACTGCGACTACCACCACCGCCGCCGCCGCCACCACCACCACCACCACCACCACCACCACCACCACTAGCACTACCACTAGCACTACGACCACTACTACCACTACTCCTACCACTACTACTGCCACTACTACTGCTACTCCTCCGCCTACTCCTACAGCTATTTCTACTACTCGTACTACTACTACTACTACTACTACTACTACTACTACTACTACTACTCTACTACCACTACTACCACTTCTACTGCTGCTGCTACTGCTTCTGCTTCTGCTTCTGCTTCTGCTACTGCTTCTGCTGCTGCTACTACTGCTACTGCTACTGCTACTACTACTACTACTACTACTACTACTACTACATATTCTTCTTCTACTACTACTACTACTACTACTACGACGACTACGACTACGACTACGACTACGACTACGTCTACGACTACCATTACCCCTAACACCACCACTACTGTTACGAGGATATCTCGTGATGCTTCGCGCCCGCGTCCTCTGCTGGATCTTTTCCTGCTTCTTCTCTTCTGTCCTCTCGTGCATCGCCTCCCGGTGCAATTTCGAGCTGAGGGTTTGCGGCTTATCAGTCTGCAGCTTCAGGGACCTCGAACTAGGTCAGTCTTGCTCATTTATGAACAGCCGCCTGTACAAGACCATCGTTGGCATTGAACAAGTTGTGGAGATTGCCACCCAAATTGGGGGCCAAGGCTTAATTAGCTTTCAGTTTTCATGGCCCGCTCGGGGACATCCCGGCAAGGAGAAAGATCCGGCCTGAAGCCACATCCTCGGCTGCATGGTACAGAACAGACAGCGCACGCAGACCGGGTCCCAAAGCATGTCCAGAACCAGCAAGCCTGAAACTACAAAGATTCATCAGGCCTTGCTAAGCCGAAAGCCCCAAAGTGCTGCCAAGCCGCTTGTAGGCTTCATCCGTCTCTTGCAAGGCTCTTTGGCCCTTTTCCACCTCCGTGGCTTCAACTCGTGTGAGGTTTTATCTAAAACTTCGGAGTTTCAGCTCCCTGCCTTCTCCATGATCTCCTTGGGCTTCGCACACACACACACACATTGGACTTCGGAAGTTTGGGCTTTTGGGCTTCAGCAAGGCCCAAAAAAATCCGGAGACTGGGTTTTCAAAGTCAGACAGGTTCAGGGTTGCAGTGGCTTCGGAAAGGCCAAGGCGCATCCTGCACGCTTCGCTTGCCCGCGTAGCTGTCAGACGGAAGCTTGAACACGGACTGGGCCTGTGAGGGCAGTTGCAGAGAGAGCCCCGAAGGCCGCAAAAATATATATATATATATATATGTGATATATGTATATATATATATATATATATATGAGATATATATATATATACTCCGAGGCAAAGGCATCGTCCTTGAACTTCCTCAAATTGCCCCAGTACCTTGGGATCGGAGGCCGGGCCGAATGCTTCGACCAAGGTACCCTAAACCCTAAACCCAGTAAACCAAGGATGCGCTGTGCTGCAGGCCCAGTGTCATGTTTCTGACTGCTGAACTGCAGCCCGGCGTGAGAATGGAACAGACTTGAACCAATGTTAATACTAATAGCGAAACTAATAATAATCATAATATGAGTGAGTGTTCGTCACACTCTGCGTGAGTGTCTGAGTGTCCATGTGTCTACTAGAGGATACTTAACATGATTCATGCCGGAGCCTCCCCCCAGATAGAGTACCATACCCCTTTCATTAGGAGCCATATGATCTACTGGCAGCTATGCTCTACTCTACTCTGCTTTACTATGCAATGCAGTAGAGCATGCCAAGGTGCTCCTTCTCCGCCTGCCGGTCCTTTTCCCGGGCCGCGCCTGCCTTCGCCTGCGTTCGATCAAGCTCCCAAAGGGCCAGCCAGGAAACGCGCTTTCATTTTGTGTATCGGTCGCTTGCGAGCGATGTCAGGAAGGCATCTCCCAGCCGAGGTACTCCCCTTACCACCAACCTCTCTCTGGAATCAACAGCTTGACTGAGGCGGAGGCTGCCACGTACTCCTCCGCGTTCTTCAGGCCCGGGTATCTTATCAGCCATCGGGTTCTGGATTTGGGAGTTCAGGGTCTCAGGGATCGCGGCACAGGGTGTTTTGGCTACACATGTGATCAGTTCCGCATGCTGAAAGACGGCTATCTGTGGAAGTAAAGTCTCGTCAGCAGTTACGAACACCACCAGAACGAGCAGCGACATCATCCTGATACCACGAAGCATCACTTATCATGTAAACAAATTCCGCTCACAAATTACGAATGCAAGCAACAGCGTTCGCACAAGTGATACGATTTATCTAGTGGGATAGTCTCGGAATAGCGACATAAACATCAACCAGTATTGCAGCCATCTTTGTTGCCAGCTGCATGGGAGCTGAGTCCAAAGCTTGTCCACAGCTGCCAGCACTCTGCGCCGGATGTCGACCGAACTCGGCACACAGCATCGATCTAAGCTACGATCTCTGTGTGCAAAGATCTTTAAGCGCAGATTGCCAAAGGCAACCTTGCAAACCCACTTGCCGAACGGCACGATGCGCCCACTGGGACACGGCTTTGTTTGTAGCTTGGGAGTAGTATGGCAGGCTAGCTGAAGCCATGCAGGAGGTGGGCACTGAGTCGGATCTGGTTGGAAGCAACCCAAAGCGTGGGCCATATGAAATAAACTCTGCTCGAAATCCCCAAAATGCCCGAAAACCCAAAAACCCTGGCACACATCTTAGGAGACAAAGGCCGAGAGCTTGGCTGCGACTGCTTCAGCGAGGACAGAGACTGGCTCTTGACGATGGTCGGAGGCTTCGATGGTGGGCGCCCTGGTCCTGGCCGAAACTGAGATGAGGACCAGAAAAACCTGCAGGTGTACACGAATACGTAGACATATATGTATATATGTATGTGTACACGATGTAACAACCTGACGGTACAGGCACCTACATGCGCAGGTGTGTGTGTGTGTGTGTG